GCTCGACCTTGTTGAAGAAATCCGATCAGGAGCATCCCTACGCGAGGCCACTCTAAAACAGCAGGTAGCCCTATGCCACGACAACAGAGTCGTAAAACGCGAATTCCAGGTCGGCAGCCTATTCTTGCGGAGAAACCAAAAGGATTCGCGCGAAGGGAAATTGGCCGCAAACTGGGAGGGACCTTATCGCGTTCAGGGAGCTACGGGCACCTGAGCGTATTATCTCGAGCAATTAAATGGAGAACCGTTACCACGACCCTGGAATGTTGTGAAGCTAAAACAATATTATAGCTAAAGCCCCTCACCTGCCGGAGGACTTTTGCCGTCGAATAGTCACCTTCAGTCCATGAAGGGAAAAGCTCAACCACGTAGGCGAGTCGAGGTACGGGCCCGACCTACCAACCAACGAAGGCATGATGTCGTTCACTTCGACGAACCAAACATACATGCCAGACAGGGACACCTCGATCGAGCTCCACTGTCAAAGTACCCCACATGGCAGAACACCCAGCTCATGATGGGCAGTTCACGCCACGAGCGTAGGATCCCGATCGCGATCATACGCCTGAAACGTGGATACCCACTCTGAGCATCCGACACATTTCGAAGTGCGTCGAACCGATATTAGGGTCGAACGAATATCTCCATACGATCACAAACTTCGTCAAAAATTCATAACCAAGATATCGGTCGGGCATATCATCAAATATTATTATCAGATAACTACTATAAACGAAGCATTCATCGAGTAGACAGTCATAAACAAAGATCAATAATATACCGACCAAAAGGGCCGGTGTTGTCCAAAATTACAATTCAGGCACGACGGCCAAAAAACTAAAGGAATGAAAGCGGGCACGCAGGCCCCAAAATAACAGCGGACACACATGCCAAAATACGCCAATAAAAGCATCAATCACTCCCCGGAGTACCAATGTCGACGTCAGGAGAGTCAGGAGGAGGCACAACCCGACTATCGACAACCTGAGACAGAACCCCAGTCCCTTCGGTATTCAACCCCGAATTTAGCACGAACATTTGATTCATAGCGGACTCAAAGCCATCGTCCAAAGCGTCAACACAATCTGACTCCAAAAGTTAAATTCGAGCGATGAAGTCAGCATGCGTGCGTAAGTCAGCCACCCCTTCAGGCTCGTCCTCCGCGGGAAGCATAACAGCCTTCAGATCATCGACCTCTCTCAACAGCCGTTGGTTGTCACTCTCCAACCGCTCATTATCAAGCTGGAGGCAGTCTTTGTCCTCGATGGCTATGTCAACCCTCTCTTTCTCCCCCCGCAGCACGTCAGACTGCTCCTGAAACATTTCCTCAGAGCGTTCAAGAGCAGCCTTCAGTTTGTAGGATTTAGCAACGAGAGCCACCTTCTCCGACTCCAGCTCCTTGACCCGATCCAAGGAGTCCGACCCTTCGCCCGCAAGGACAACTGCCATCTCAACCATTTTCACCACCCCGATCATGCTGGCAGCGAGGTGTTTCCTCCGACCTTCCTTATCGAGCCATCTGATGATATCGACCTCGTTGTCAGATACGGTCAAGTGAAACCCCTCAAAGAAATCCTTTTCCACAAAACAGGGTGGCAGGCTGAAGGCCCGGGCACCCGCCCCTCCATCGGTCACTTCGACTCCACCTTCTGGTCGACTCCGTTTCTTGCTAATCAAAGCAGATTGGCGCTCAGTGTCATGGGAACCCGAGGACCCACTAGATCCTTCCCTGCCCGACTCGGGGGTCAGACTCATTCGTGTGGCTTATTGCGGCTTCACCAACCTTTTGCTGAGCTTCTTATCTTGGGTCAGCTTCAGCAACCTCTCGCGATGTTCTACCATGTGACCTGCAAAGGAAATGTACTTGGGTTAGCCACATGGGAGAAAACAAATAAAGAAGGCTATCAATAGAGTAAAGCAAGAAACCTAAGAGCTCTACGACCTGCTCGTAAGATTGGCATTCGACGAGCGATTTGGTATTGATCGGACGTGCCTCGAACATCGACTCACTATCCTCATCAAGAATGTCGTTCCCTTCCCTCGTAACCCACCGAGTAGGGAAGAAACCATTGACAAATTTGTTCAGGACGCCATAAGCCTCCTCGTCCTTAGCGCTCATACCGCCAATAGGAGTGTGGTAGTATCCAGGTCCATGGTCGTAATGGCCCGAACACCAGTGGATGGGAAACTTTGAGACTTTCCCAATCTCAGGATTGCCCTCAGAATCCAAACACGGCTCCCCGTCCTCATCCACCACAACAGTCAGTTCAAACAATGAATCCACGGCTGTCTGAGTAGACGGTTGCAAAATATACCACTTATCCTTGAAATCTCGCACAGAATCCATATACATCCTAAACAGCCTCTTCGACTGCTTAAGGGACACCCAATTGTGCTTCCCTCCCCGAGACTGCTGTTGCAGGTGAAAAACCCTAAAGAACAGGGGAATCGTTGCCCCGATCCTCAGGAAGCAGCAGGTGAGTTCTAATGCCCAGATAAAGGCAATCGCGTTAGGATGAATCTGGGAGGGAGCCAGGTTCAAGTGATTGAACACTCCCATCTGGAAGTCATTGAAAGGTAGTTGGAGCCCAAGATCTTTAAATACGATCTCGTACATAGGGAAGGCGTCCTGAGTAAACTTCGAGCAAATACGGGCATCCCTTGTCGGGCTCATGATCTTAAAATTTCTCCGAAATCCCTCCTGGCGGCCGCCGTATTCGACGATAGTGTAAGCTTGCCTGCCGGTATAGCTAGAGATCGAAGCTATCCCCCGGGGTTCCGCACCAACCCAGTCCAGAGTAGGGTCATCGACGGTGTCGACCAGATTCATGCTTTCCTCGACAGTTCTTGTTTCCTCAGTGTCAATATGCTCCGAGGACTCGGGAATATCGGCCATTTACCTGCAAAGTACAGGAAACCAGTGAATTCGACAACAAATCTGCTTTTCCGCCACACAGACGGGGAGAAGTAAGAAACACTCAGACCAAGTCAACAACCATTCGCACGAAAGACGGGGAACACATGGACCTCGATCAAACACGGACCTTAACGGCAAACGTATATCAATCATAAATGTCACGGGCACAACAAGAATATCGCGAGAAAAGGATGAATTTCACGACCAAGTTCATAACATTACTAGCCAGATACAAGAATACCACGGGGAAAGCTAGCCTACATACTAACGAAAGGATGAATCCCCCGACCAAGTTCATAAATCTATTAGCCAAACGCATGAATATCACGGGCACGATCATAAACCGTATGCCTAAACCTATGAACGCCGCATGCATGATCATGAATCAGACGCCTAAAGCGCTTGAATTTCCCGGCATAATCCCCAGACACGAAATTCTACCACTAAACACCATCGAAATCTATCTACAACACAAGATAGCCAAGAAAAAGAACAGTTACTTGGAAGAAAAGTGAGGAGCGACAGTTGTGGAGGTAAATACACGGCGGACGGTGTGGCGGCCTCAGTGACACTAGGAAAACGCGCGGTGTTGACGGTAGAGAAAATATGAGAGCGTGAAAATGTGAAAACAAGTTATGGGCCCTGAAGCTCTATTTATAGAGATGACGTGGAATGTGAAACGTCGCGTCGGGGAATCACAAACCGCCTTTATCCTCGACACCTACTCGCATAGACAATGATGGCCCCTACTCCCTAGGCCGCCATTGTGGTTTCCAAGAGCCACGCCACATGTCTGACTAGTGTATCATCCTCTCCCCGCGTGTACTCCTCGAACACGCTTCGACCGCTGCACGAAGCAAATCACGAACCAGGCGACGTCTCCCATCCACGGCAGAAAAACCCGGTGTCGCGCAGCGAGTCTCGCGAAGGGGCAAACTTGAAGCAAGTTATAACTCCTTTACCAAGAGCAACGACTTGGGGGGCTCCTGTTCTGAACTGGGCTTGCCCTTGGCCCAACTACCAGTGAGGCCCAATCCAAGCTTGCCAACCTGCTGCGCTGAGCAGTATTTCCACCGAGCACATCCCGACCACAAATGTCTTGTCGATCATGACTGCTTCCTGTCGGTGCTCGCATGGACCATCCCCGACGAGCACGCGCTCCTCCCGGGCACCTTCCTCGTAGGGCTGACTTTTAACCTCTCAGGATTTCGCGGAGTCTTCATGATCCCAGAAAAGATCGCGTCTCTATCCTCTCTGTCTTGCGGAGGACGTCATCCAGGTAGGGGGCCACGTGCGGGTCCCCACTACACACGTAGTACCTGGCAGTCTCTTTGTTGGGCCTGTTTGATCAGCCCAATAAAGAGACCTTGGGCCAGCGCTGGGAGCTATAAATACCATCTCTTTCGAGAGGGTCAGATATTCATTGATACATCTCAAAACTCATACTTGCTTGCTCATTCCGCTTCTTACTTTACCATCGGAGTGTCTCGCAGGTACCCCATTTCATTCAACTTTAACCCAAAATCAACTGTGACGGTCCAACTCTGATTCGATAAGATCAAGATCTAAAATCTTTTTACACTTTTTTTTGGACAACACTAAAGTGAATACACAATATACATATATAAATCTTAATGTAAAATATAATTCATTCTAACATGTTTATTTTTTACTAAAACTTTTTAAAGAGAAAAAAGAATATACACAGTCTAAAATAATTTTAGACAAATAACCCACCAACGACGTTTTCTCTTAAATTATATTTAAATTTTAAAAATATTTTAATAATTTATCAATTTTTTATATTTTTATTAGACAGTGTAAAATTAATTATATATTCATTTTTTATAAAAATGATTATACTTAAAAATTTTATTTGTATTTTATAATTTTAAACATGATTATTAAAATAAAAATTTATTCAAATATAAATAATTTTAATTTGGAATTAATTTTATAAAATAAAATCAGTTTGCTATAAAATTAAAGATACATATTAGTTTTTATATTTTGATTCCAAAAGAATTGATAATGATCATATAACAATAAAATCACCCCCTTTCCTCGAGTGCAGAAGAACAAAATGGGGATCCGATTCGTGTTAATGGTGAACAAACAAGGTCAAACGCGTCTTGCTCAGTACTACGAATATCTCACTGTTGAAGAAAGACGAACCCTTGAAGGCGAAATCGTTCGCAAATGCCTCGCCCGTAACGAACACCAGGTTTCCCTTTATTAACACCCATTTCATTTCAACTATAAACTTCAATTCTTTTCATTCTTTTTCATCAGATCTTGCAATTTTACCTTAGGTTTTCAAGTGTTATTGAATGGATCTAAAAATGGTTTTCAATTTTCGATCTATTTGAATATTTTTACCATAGATTAGAGACATAGCCGGTTTGATTCCACACCCCCAAATTGAAAAAAAGATAAAAGTTAGTGAAGCATTATATGCAATAGAATGATTTCCACTGTGTTACTTTAGGGTGTGTTTGCATTCATCATAATTGATTTTGCTGATGGATTTTTGTCATGGACAGTGTTCATTTGTTGAGCATCGCAACTACAGAATTGTATATAGACGCTATGCATCTTTGTTTTTCCTGGTTGGGGTTGACGACGGCGAGGTAATACATTTTTTTTCTTCTATATTTCTCATTCCAACGGGTTCAATTTGAAACAAGCCGATTGTGTTAAATAGTCTAGCTTTGATCTTACTATGTCTAGCTATGACCAGTGGTCGTGGCTTCAAATGCGATTTGCCTAACATTTTTTTGTCCAAAGAAACGGAGTGAAATCTATAGGTTTTAATGATCTTGTTTGTTGAACATTTCTGCTTCCGTAAAATTTCCCATGTATCATTGTTATCTTAGATAAATATGATATTATAATTTCAAATTCCGCTTCTTATTGGTTGTTCATCCAACCCTTTGTGGATATCTTTGTAGAATGAACTTGCTATTTTGGAATTTATCCATCTCTTAGTTGAAACCATGGATCGACATTTTGGCAACGTGGTAAGTCCTGCTCTGATTACAGTCTGTAGACTGTGTTTTTCAAAATTAAAAGTAATTTGTCTCCCCACATTCTTCTGCAATGTCTATTATTTTCTTCCTTCAATCTCCTAAACTTTTCTTCAACCAAACACTGATATCATGGTTCATTGTTTGCATAAATTTGCAGTGTGAGCTAGATATCATGTTTCATTTAGAAAAGGTACATTTTATGTTGGAGGAAATGGTGATGAATGGTTGTATCGTGGAGACCAGCAAAGCAAATATTCTGACTCCTATTCAGCTGATGGATAAAACATCTTAAGTGAGAGAAAACAAGAGTTCATGTATTTCTCTGTTATTATACTATTAGCTGTCACTGTTGCTACTGTATGTGTATGTGTACAATCAAGTGAATATTAACAACAGCGGTTAATCTCAATTTTCTTTATGAATAAAATACTAAAGTTTGTATTTCATATTTTTTCTTTCTTTCATCCTTTATTGTATTGTATTGTATTGATTATTGATTATTTGCTTAAAACAAACGTTCCTAATTCTTTTTGGTATGGGCACAAATAATGCAACGCCAACGTTTATTGGCCTGAACAGTGTTCTGTTCCATTGCTTTTGCTATAGTAGGTAGGGTTTTTCCTTTCAACACGATGTAAGTTAAATTCAACACAACTATGGTAGAATTCTCTTTCATGGATATCCACGAATTCTTTGTTGAAACTCTTCAATCAGAAGTCATTTGATTTGTGTAGAGAAGAGATACAATTTATATTGTTCAATGGTTTTTACTCAAACATGAGGCTATATAGTCCATTTCGAAAGTTCCGTTGTTGCTTAGATGCCAGAGCAATAGCGGTTTTTGTATGATGTCTTATCTTAAGACGCTACATCTTGTATTCATGATCAAAAAAGTGTCATATGGAAAGCCATCGAGAGTGATCGAGGTTTATTTATGGTGTTGGAAGGGTTTTTAAGGGTGTTTGAGTAATGAATGCGTGGAAGGTGCACAAATTTTTATGTCATGAGTCAGGTATGCCATCATCCTAATGGTCATGGCCTGTGAGAGGCCGAGAGCCATGAGCCATTGCAGTTATTTTCGAACCATCAATAAAAGGCTCTGATACCTTTGATGCCATCCTAATGGTTTACTACTTACTTTCCAAACTAATCATGAAAATTGAAGCCATCAACCATCAACGCGTTTATAAACAAGCTGAAATCATAACTTTGACTCATGGAGAATTTAGGTTCACTTAATAATTAATACTCTATAGATATCTTCTTGACTTGATTAATTTTCCAAGTTCAAACAATTCCATCATTGCCCACATTTGTGTTCATTTTGACCGGAAAACATTTGTGTTCATTTTGACCGGAAACTAGTTTGCAGATGAATCGTAACTCCTTTTCAAATTCAAATGAATTTTAAACATAGTAACAAAAGAATACATGATAGAAACGTGGATGATAGAGTGAGCTATCATTTGTTACTATAAAATAAAATAGGAAAGGAAGAGAGAGATAATTATTTGAGCTGTTACTATAATTATAGGAGTTGATTATAATAATTATAGGAGATAAAATAGGGAAGAGAGAGAGAAGGTATCTAATTATTTCATTAGGGTTAAGGATCACCATCTTGGTGAGGGAAGCACTGCGTGCTTAGAGACTGGTAGATATTTTCTATCCGTTTGTTATTTTCACCATTACTATTTCTCTGTAATTGTTCACCCGCAATAATATAATTACGACATTCTTTTACTATTCTATTCATATACTCACCGTTGATCTATATATATTCATATAAGAACCCATCAATTAATTTGACCTGCCGGATCAAAAACCTACCGATAAAGATTGTAGATGCCAAGGAAACCTAAGATGGGAGATCGGATTGAAGCCTTGGAGAAGCAGATGGAGAATCTAACAACGACTATGCAGGAGCTGACTCTGTAGATGCAACAACAGAGTGTGGTATTAACTGAATTGAGCAAAACAGACTGGGAAGAAAACACAGGAGACAGAGACATCTTTTGGTGATTCGTCACAGAGAAAATCGCGCTTTGCGGGGAAGAAGGTGAAACTTCCTTTGTTCGAATGGGGTGACCCAGTGGCGTGGATCACACGAGCTGAAATTTACTTTGATGTTCAGAATACATCGGATACGATGCAGGTGAAATTGGCTCGATTGAGCATGAAGGGTGCAACAATCCATTGGATCAAACTCTGGTGAACTACAATACCCTTCTTCATGTTGAAAGTAATTTCTTGTGTCGAAGCAGTTTGCTCGACATAGACAAGTGAATGCCGAAAAGATTTGATTTGATTTAGAAGTGTGGAAACAGATTGTTACACACAAATTTAATTTAATTTGAGATTTAGATAGATTTGATTTAGATCTAAAATAGATATATTTGATTTAGTTCCAAAATAGGTATTTGGGCTTTGGCTTAGGGAGCAAGCTAACCTAAATCTACAAATAGGGAGTAACCCCTATTTTTTTTGTAATCAATTCATTCATTTGCAGAATCTGCAGTTGCAAGTGAATAATAAAGTTTTCTATAGTTTGTGGACAAAGAGAAACGCTGCAGAAAATAATTTTCCTTCTTTCTTCATCTTTTATTTTTCATTGTCATGTGTGGTGATATCAATCTTGATCATCAAGATTGGTAGAAATTTATCGTAGATTGGTAGAATTCCAACATTTAGTATCAGGAGTTTCGGTTGAGTGATTCAAAGGAAGAACGATCAAGAACGATCGAGGAAGAAGAAGAAAAAGATCACGATTACGATGAATTACGCTAATATATTTTTTCCCAGCAAATCTTCCAATTCTTAAAGGTGATAACTATGAGAATTGGTGCAAACATATGAAGGTTATATTATGTTTTCAAGGTCTTTGGGATTTTGTGAAATATGGATTAGAATCGATTGAAAAAGATGCTTCAGAAGAAGAAGAGAAGGAATACAAAGAATCGAAGAAGAAGAGTTATAAAGCTCTCGTTGTAATTCACCAATGTGTTAGCCCAGACAATTTCGAAAATGTTAGTGATGTAGAATCCGTAAAAGAAGCTTGGGAGATTCTCAAAAAATCATTTGGAGGCGTTGAGAAGGTGAAAGAGGTGAGGTTACAAACTCACAAAAGAACGTATTAATTGCTTCAGATGGAAGATAGTGAGAGCATATCTGATTTCTTCACTAGGATTATAAAACTAGTGAATCAAATCAAAACTTGTGGAGAGACGTTAACAACAAGAGCAGTTGTTTCGAAGATCTTTGGATCCAAAGTTCGACCATGTGGTAATTTCCATAGAAGAGTCGAAGGACATGTCATCTTTGTCAAAGGAAGAGCTTCAAGTGACGCTTGAATCTCACAAACAAAGAATGGCTGAAAGATTTGCAGGCAAGTTGAAGATTGATGTGGCCTTGCAGGCTCAATCAACAAGAGACAAGAAAGGCAAATGAAAGTGGTTTGATAATAAAGGTAGAGGTGGCTATAACAATTCGACTGGTAGAGAAAACCAGCACAAAGAACATATGTCGAATCAGAGAAGACCATGCCAAGGAAACTAAAGAGGTAGTGTTGCAAATAAAGGAAGAGGTGGTATTCGAAAACCTGACAAGAGTCACATTCAATGTTACAATTGTCAGAAGTATGGTCACTATTCGAGTGATTATCCAGAAAAGAGAAAGAATCAAGAAAGTGATGCAAAGATTGCAAAACATGAAGAAGAAGAGATGATGATGATAGTTACAACAAGAGATGAAGATAGACTCAAGGACCAATGGTACTTGGATTCAGGATTCTCATCACATATGTTTGGAAGGAAAGATTGGTTTGTCAACATAAAACCCTCGATGAAGAACATGGTGAAATTATCAAATGACAATACCCTAGCAGCTGAAGGTATTGGTGATATTATGATTATGAGGAAAAATGGCAAGAGATCAATAATTTCCAATGTATTGTACATACAAGGCATGAAGAGAAATTTTCTCAGTATAGGGCAGTTGGTCGAAAAGAATTAGAAAGTGTCGATCAAAGATAAGATAATGAGAGTCGTCAACACAAATGGAAGGTTAATCTTAAAGGCTCTCATGTCTCAAAATAAAACCTTCAAGATTGAACTTAATGTGATGGAGCACAAGTGCCTTTCGCCTGCAGCTAGCAGAGACGAATGGATATGGCACTATCGATTAGGCCATCTCAACTTCAGAGACATCAGAGATTTGAAGAGAAGAAATATGGTTTCGAGATTTCCAGAAATTGACATCCCAAACAAAGTGTGTGAGGAATGTGTGCAGGCGAAGCATCACAAAAATAGCTTCAGCAAGGATACATGAAACATGTCGAAGGCTATCGTCAAAGTCAAATACTCTGATACATCTGGACCACTTCAGGTAGATCCGATGGGAGGTAACAAATACTTTGTTACATTCATAGACGATGTTAGTCGAAAACTATGAACTTACCTGATCAAGAAGAAAAGTGAAGTGATCTAGGTATTTGTCAAGTTTAAGTCTATGGTCGAAAGACAAAGTGGTAGAAAGCATAAAGTTTTGAGAACTGATGGTGGTGGAGAATATGTGTTGAAAGACTTTGACAAGTTGTGTGAGAAAGAGGGGACTGTGCATGAGGTGGTGCCACCCTGCACTCCACAGCAGAATGGAGCCACATAAAGGAAGAATCTAACCATCATAAATATGGTGATAAGTATGTTGAAAGGCAAGCATTTACCGAAAGAGTTTTGGGGTGAAGCTGTGCTAACTGCAATATATATATATATATATATATATATATATATATATATATATATATATATATATATATATATATATATATATATATATATATATATATATATATATATATATATATATTAAAAAAAATGTCTGACGAAGAAGCTAGAAGGAATTACTCCAGAAGCATGTCGGTCTGGTGTGAAGCCTAGCTTGAGTCATTTGAAGGTATTTTGATCTATTGCACATAGAAATGTGTCAGTTCAGTTGAGAAGAAAACTTTATGAGAAGTTGAGTTAAATGATCCTAGCAGGGTATCATTCGACAAGAGGTTACAAGTTGTTCGACCTAGTGAACAAGCAGATTATAATCAACAAAGACGTATTCATAGATGAGCTTAAAGAATGAGATTGGACTGAAAATGTCAAGAAAGATTCAGTGAGAATCTTACTTGAAGAACTAGAAACTCAAGTCAAAAAAGAAGTTCTACTAGAGGAAGTTAGACAAGAAGAGGTTAGAGATCAACCAAGTACAAGCAGAACACAAAGAACAAGACACATGTCTACAAGG